CTTTCTCTGCCTTGTTAGTGAAGGGTTTAATCAGTAAATTGACTTTTTAACGAGGTAGGGTGCTGGTCACTGTGGCTGCAGGGAGCAGATTAATCATTAATTCACAGCAAAAGGGGAATTGTGGTGAACTTGGAAGACCTCTCTCCACTTTTAATTTATTTGGGAGAACTCATGTGACTTGAGACACATGGAAAAATACTCCTTTCAAAGCAATTTTCCTGCATTGCCAAAATGACCCCAGTGTGTTGCTTTTCTCTCAGTGCATTTGCAAGTGACTGATTTTTTTGCACCTTCAGTGTTGCAAGATCAAATAAATAATGACTGGGGGGGGGGGGGGGTGGAGGCTCTTTTTGCTTGAAAGGGCACTGACCTGTCATAACCCACACATGCTGAATAGTTTTCTTGAATGCTTTGTGAGTTTTGAGATTTTCTTGCTTAAGATTGGATCATGTGAACTAACTTATGCTGAATTTGAATCTTTGAAGCATTAAAAGTGAGTCCTTTGAAATGAGACTTGTGAGAGAGCACACTAACACTTCACTATTCACAGCAGTTTATGGTAAATAGTTCTATTTTGCACAGACCACTTTTCATTTGGTATATAAATCGGAAGTGAAATCTGTGATTCATGGAATCTGCCTTTGTTTTATTTAATTAACTCATCAGAATTAGTGACTATTTAGCCTAGAACTCAACTGCATTCAGACTGTGAATGCAGTTGGTAGTTTGGGGATGCATGTGTGTGAGAACTCTTGCCTTGACTGTTTACTGGATTTTAATTAATCCAAGAAGGCATCTTGGTGTTCTGAAGTTGCACACAAATGAAGACTTCCCTGACAATGTTTTATATAAAAAGTATGGACAGCTATTCCTTCAAACCAACTCTGAAAAACAATGAAAATCTAAGACATAATTTTGCACTGTTAATTAAGTTCTTGCTTTTTCTGAAGTCACGTGGTTGTTTTTAGAATAAGTCACTGAGCAGTGAAGTGGAAGAGGGAAGGGAATCTGTACACAATGAATAACCCAGGGTATCTTTCTGCAGCTATATACCGTGCTCCGAGAGAATACATGTGGCAGTGACAGAAATGGCAGCCTTGTTCCCAAAAGTAAGTACGTGCCACCACCAGAATGGTTTTGGCCTCCTTCCTCATGTGTAATTCCCCTTCAGAATGAAAATCAAAGATTATTTCCTTTCAAAATGAAAATGGTAGGAGAAACAATGGCGTTCTGAAGCACCTTTGCAGAATGAAAATCAAAAATTATTTCCCTTCAAAATGAAAATGGTAGGGAGAAATGATGGGGTTATGATGCACCTCTGTATTTATTAGCATGGCAACTGGTAAAGGCTAAAGTGTGAGTCCAGGCCTTTAATTGTACTCTTGAGTGTGTAACTCTTAAGAATTGCACAAAACTGGAGGTGCTTGGATCTGGCATGAAGACTTGTGTGGTTGTATGGGAACTTCAGCAGACTCATCACCCCTTTTCCAGCTGAGTGCCATTGCTTGGATTTCTTTCCTGCAGCCACGTTTAGATCTGTTATCCCTCCATCAAAGTGATCTGTTTGCTCACAGCAAATTTAGGGAGTGAAATCTCCATGACCGAGTTCTTGTAAAGTCTTACCTGTTGGAATCTGAGGTATTGATGATTCCAAAATTGCAAAAAGTCTCTGTCTTTCAGCCCCCCTGCCAAAGCAGAAGCCATAATTGGTCTGTGCTGCTTTCAAGGTTGTTTATTCTGTTTATCTCTAACATGTTCTGCTGCCCTGCCGCAGCTCTGTCCTGCAGGGCAGCGTGTGGGGCTCTGCCCTCAGTGGGATGGTACAAACATTAAATACCAGAAACTACCTGTGCTGGATTTACAATAACGTGCCAATATCTGTCACCTACGTTGGACAGTGTGTCCCCAGCTTAAACCAACAGAAAAATGCCAACACCACAGTGAAACATGGAGGGCATGAAGAAGGAGAAAAAGGACAAGACACACCCAATTTCCTCCATCTTGTCCCCTTTGAACCCCTAATCTAGAATCCTAAAATTTTACTTTTGCACTCGTGCCACACTTAATTATTACTGATATCAAACACTCAGAGCTTGTAATTCATCCTGTAAGATTGAAAACTCTTTTCCATGGACAGAGATCACAGACAGTGTCTCTGGGGGTTCTGTCCAGGGGGGTTCCTGACCCCTGCCAGGGTCCCAGACCTGCCAGGGCAGCCAGAGGGAAGCTCTGGATTCCCACACTTACCCACCTCTCCAAAACTGCAAGGAAAGAGCCAAGGCTGCTGTCCCGCCTGCACCCATCATCCTGGACATGCTGTCCCCTCCTGCCAGCCAGGACATGGGCTGGGACAGTAAACAGGCACCAGAAATGTGCATGAGTAACTTCCTGAGGGAGGGCATGGAGCAATATTCCCTGCCTGTTGCCTGGCAGGATCTCCCTCTCCGAGAGGAGAGAGAAATTCCGCCTGCTGCCAGGAGGGGATTCAGGGCTCGGTTCTTTGCTCATCAAAGAACCCTTGTGAGCGCTCCCAGCTGATGAAAAGGTTGTGTTGTTCTGCCTGTTGTGTTTTCCCTTCCCAGAAGCCCAAGTCGGAGCTGGTGAGGACTTCCCTGCGCCTGCTGACGTCCAGCGCCTACAGGCTGCAGTCGGAGTGCAGGAAGGCGCTGCCCGCCGAGCCCAGCCCCGCGCCCGACATCCAGCTGGTGACACAGCAGGTCATCCAGTGCGCCTACGACATCGCCAAGGCTGCCAAGCAGCTGGTCACCATCACAACCAAAGAGAACAACAACTGAGGCACTCGGGGCTTTTTACTCTGGGGTTTTTTTAAAGGTTGGATTTCAACGTATCGGTGTGGAACTATGCGCATTTTTACGAGGAGAAAAAACTTCAAGGGGCAAGAAACTCTTTTTTTTTTTTTTTAACTCAGTATTATTTTTTGCATGTTTTCTAACAATTTTATGATTAATTTAACCCACTGCCTTATTTTGTGCCTGTGTTGCCAGTGTAGTTATGGATAATAGCATGTTGCAAGTAGCTGTCGAGCCACTCTCATGTCCCAGCGCTGTACCGAGCTCTTGTAGATGTTTCCTTGGGGCCACGTTCTGCTTTCAGATCCTGCTGGTGGAACTGCATGGATGGGAGAGCAGCATCTCCATCCCTCTGGAGCCTCCCCTGCTGGGATCCTGCTGGCTGAGGCTCCCCAGGCTCCGGGACCGCTCCCAGCAGGAAGAAGGTTTGTCCTGGTAACGGGGTACAAGCCCAACGTTCTCTGTTCCCATATCAACTGTTGTGCAATATGTTTTTTAGTCTGCTAAACCAGTAGTAGTTGTGGGCATCCAAGCTTGTTACGTGTAACTCTACAAGGTCTTTGTCACTTTATCTGTTTTGGAAGGAATTTGAAACTTAATAGTTATTTCTTTTAGTTGTCACTATGCCATTAATATATATGTTTGATGTTATTTTAGGGCATTAGTGGTTAAAATATTATCCTTTGTTTCTGAGTTAGTAATTCATTGTTAAGTTTCCTGCAGAATTTTCCTGTCATCTTTGAGGCACCGTCTTGTTTGCAGCAGCATTTCTCAGTAACTCCAGATGCAATTTCACTAAAGATTTCTGTGCTTATTAACAAAAAAAAGGAAGTTAGAAAAGTGCCAGTGCAAAAGCAGCTGTGTCTGCCACAGCACATAACCTCTGTACCTCAACATATCCAAATGTGAAAACATTTCTCCTATCTCCTAAGTTTTTTATGCAAATCTTTCAAAATTTGACAACTTGCTTAGTAACCCCTGCCAGGCTGCCTGGTCCCAGTGGCCATGTGTGCTCCAGGTTTCTTCATCCATAACAGTTCACAGAAGTATGTCAGTCCATAATTTAAAAACTGAGAATATTTTTGGGAGTCTGAATTTCAGGTGGTGCAGGAAATCACAGATTTTTGCCTCTGTCCCGTTTGGCAGTGTATTGTCACTGCCCAGGAGCCAGCCGTGGTGTGTTTGTGTGGATATATCCAAGCACAAGTGCCACAGCACTGTTGGATTCCTGGTGCTGTCTGGTTCCCAGAGTCTGAGGGAGGGAAGGAATGGAGAGAGGAGATGACAGCCCAGTCAATTAATGTTCTTCATTGTGGGGTTTTATTTCCTTTCTGCCCTTCTGAACCCTAGGAGCAGCTCTAACCTGACAGCAGAGGCAGGCTGGGATTAAAACTGCAAATTACCTTTGTGAAACTACAAAATCATGCAACTGGCAATTAATTAAACACATTGAGAATCTTCTAGGAGCTTTTCCTTAAATAATGGCTGAAAAGCAGCAGATGGTATTTTTCAGTCTCCCAGGACACCACTGTGTGCTGTTCTTTAACATATCTTACCTGCTTTCCAAAGCAGGGTGACACTGAGCTATGGAGTAATTTATCACTTCTTTAAACCTGCCTTTGATCCAAAACCAAGGGACACTTTAACTGCCAGCCCCTGCTCCAGCTACACTGAAATCAGAGTGATCCACACCCCACAGGAACCCCCAGCAGCAAGTTCATGAACCCTCCACTCACAGCACTGCAGTCAGAGTTTGTAGCACCTCAAGTAACAAAGGTGTGTTTTTCTTTTAGGACTAGATCTCTTGTTCCCCTGTAAACAAACTTGCTCTTCCTTTACAAAATGCTGCAGAGGAAAGGAAAAGCTTTTTTTGCCTTTTTCCAAACCTTGTATTTATCAGTGTCATTCTGTCTGTACAATATTTTGACTTTTAATCTTTTGTTTACAGTATTACTATAAAATGCTAAAACCCTTTCAGTGTGTGAAACAATGTGGGCTTATTTGACTGCTGTTTCTCTAAAGATCTCTGGAAAGGTTTTTACTCGTGAGTAAAGTGCTGTAAGAGCTCCTTGTGCACTGTGACAGGACTGATGTCAAGCTACAGTGGATGGTATCAGCAAGGAATGAACTGCAATAATCAACTCAATCTCCTCTCCTGTTGCTGCTCATGTAACAAAAACCAAATCCTTGTTCAGGTTTCAATTATTCATTATTGATGAATATTATTCATTAGTACTCATTATTTATGAAACAAGTGAAAAACAATGTTTAAGTCTGCAGCACCTTCTGGAGAGGAACTGGACAAGCACTGCTGCCACAGCACACATGATCTGACTGATTTGCAATTATGAATGAACTCCTCAAAGTCCAGTGGGAATCAAGGCACAGCCTGATTCCCCAGGGTGGGACTCTGACACAGCCCGTGGTGTTTCACAGCTCCTCTTCCTGGGCAGACACAGATTCTTGTGTGGCTCAGGTCCACAGGGCCCATTTATTTGTTGCGTTGCTTCAGCCTCTCACGTACTAAAATACATGAGCACAACTCCAAAATGCAAAGTGAAGCAGTTCACTTCCCTGAAGGAGCTCACACCTCCACATTCCTGAAGACAGTAGAACTTTTCTCCTCTTCAGCTTGGCCACAACTAAATGTTTTCATAAATCTACTGAGTCAAGTCTTGATCTCACTGTAGGCTATTCCAGAGGCACCATTATTTCAGGAGTTCCTTGAGTTCTCAGAGTTTTCTTTCTGTAGGCTGGAGCTGCATCTCATGCTCATTCCTCAGGTCCAAGCTGCTCTTGGGTAACTGTAGAGCTAATGGGATCAAAGCAAATATCAGCACTGGGTTTTGGGCTCTGGAATTAATCCACACACACTCTTGAGCATGCACAGGAGCTGATGGGCTGGGCAGGGGCTTTAGGTAGGGTTACTCAAATTTGATTTTAGAGCCAGGCAAAGCAGGACAGTCAACAAAAACACTGAGCAGGGGAACTGCACAGTACCAACTCTACTAAAGCAGCCAATACACGATTTGAGGCATTAGAAACATGTCTGCCTCAAAAATTCTTTAAAAGTTAGGGCCTAATATATCAACATCAGCAAAAAAAGAAAAGAGAGAACTGTAGAGCTCTGTGAGGGGAAGGAAGGAGCTCTGTGCAGGTCAGAGACAAGGATGCTGTCACCTTCCATGATGGGCTCAGGTGCTGGGGTGACCCCTGTGCCAGGTGTGACCTTACCCTGCTGTGCCAGCCCTGCTTGGCCTCCTGCTGCTGGGCTGGTCCCTCCTGCTGCTCCTCTTGCTCTCTCAAGCTGTGCTCTGTCCCCTGCACAGGGGAAATCAGGTGAGATGGGGCAGCCTCAGCAGCCAGGTGTGTATTGGGGAGCTCAGCTACCTGTGCCTGCAGCTCCCTCCTGCAGGCTCGCTGCTGTTCCTCCTTGGCCTCCTCGAGTTCTTTGATCAGCTGCTCTCGATATTTAATGGATTCTTCTTGGGCCCTTCTGTTTAACTCCATCTTCTCTTGGATCTGGCGCCGCCTGCCTGCAAGGACCTGTGCAAAGGGAGGAGATGGAGGGAGAAGATGGTTAAACAGTTCCCAGGAAACACACCAGACAAGGAAAAAATTCCACCCCAGCATGGAATGCTCTAATTCTCCAAAAGGTGGTGGGTTACAAGTGGAATGATGGTTTCATTGAGCCAAGCAGGACACATCATCAATAGAGGTCATCACCTCACTCATCAGGCGATCTCTGGCCACCTTCTCTCTTTCCCATTCTTCTTCCCTCTTCTCCCACATTTTTTTTGCTTCTTCCCTAAAGGAGAGAGGAAGAATTATCTCTGAGGTTAACCCACCTGTATACTCCCCAGGCACAGACAAGCTATCCTGTGCTTGAGAGCAGCACTTGGGTTTCTCTTCAGGTTTGTTCCCTGCTAGTTGGTGTGTCCATCCCACTTGTGCCTCTCAGTGACCCCCTAACCCGGAACATTCAGCACACTTGGACTCCTCAGGTGAGGTTCAGAGGAGGGCAGACTCACCTGAAGATAGTCTCGAGCTCTGCTTCCCTCTCCTTTTCCAGCTGGAGCTGTTCCTCGATGACCCTCTTCATCCAGGCCACGTCTGCCACCGCCCGTCCCTGCCGCGCGATCTGCCGGCTCTGATCCTCCTCTTCTTTCTCCAGGAGGGCTGATAAGATTTGCCTGTCTGTCTCCTGGGGGAGAAAACCACGGGATTAACAACTATCCATGTGCAGGCTCCTCTAGGCGTTACTGGTGACAGTGACAAGGCTGTGCTCAGCAAGATGCCCCATCTGCTGCTTCCCCGTGAGCTTTGTGCTCCAGCCCTGTGCACAAGCTGGAAGAGGCCTCCTGATCTGTAGGAATCAGAGGCAAACCACACACAACAAGTTTTTTCACCACACAGCATCTATAATGTATAAATTAATCTCTTACCAGTTCCTCCTGTACCTGCTGCGCTTGTCTCCTTAACTGGACATCACACTGATGCTTCAAGAAGCGACTGAAGGAGGAAAAAAAGTAGAATTTAACAAAAAAAAAAACCAAAAAAACCCCAAAAAAACAGTATCACACTGACTCTAAAGCACCATGTCATTGTACAGCTGCACTCAGGGAGGTGCATCTGTGACAATGAGGAACCTGTACCAGAAACAAAAAGCAGGAACAGCACCAGTGCCTTTGCTCCTTGGCTGCTGTGGGCAAGTCCACCAAAACCCAGATATTTACATCCTACCACTGCTACCTGGAATATCTCCTTGTGCCCCAAGTACTGCTGTGGGCACGGTAATTCTATCCAAAACAAGCTCCACTTGATGTCCTACCCGAGCTCTTTCTTCCTCCGGTGCTCTTCCATTTGTTTCCTTTCTTCTTCCAAATTCTCCAGCTCCCGCTGCTGCTTTAATAAATTCTCTTGTTCCTTTTTCAGCTGTGTTGCCTAAAAAGGAAAACACACTGAGAGAGAGTACATCAGCGAGCTACAACATCCCAGAGAGCACACTTGACCAGAGTTTGTACCCTGTTCTGCTCCTCTGCAGGCAGGGAAAGCCCTCCCTGCAGTGCAAACATGGAGAGAAGAGGTCAGGTCAGCCCTGCTGTATTTCCAAGTGAAGCAACAAATTCCTTTCTCCAAAGAGGAGAAAGTCAAGATTACCTTCGTCTCCTGCAGTTTCAGTTCTTCTATCTGCTGAAGCAAGGCCTCTGCTTGCTGCTTCTCCAGCTGAGGCTTCTCTTCCTCTTGTCTCGTTCTTTCCAGCGCTTCCCCTCGTGCCGTTTTGTACTCACTTTCATAACGTTTCTTCTCTTCAAGTTTGGTCACCTCTTCCTTTCCCAAAGAAAAAAAAACAGCATTTCAGGTTAGCCTGACACAAAGAAACAACTTCTGGCTCAGAAAATCCAGCAGACTCCTGCAAGCTGTTAGTGCCCTTCCTGGCATCAGCTCCAATGGCACAAGGGTCACCCCTCCACCCACACACACATTTCAGAGTCCTCTCAGTGACCAGAACACCAGGGTTGCCCCCATACCTGGTTTTGTTGTGTTAGCTGATCACTCCAAGCCTCCCTCACGTGCTTCCTGTGCAGCTCAGACTCTGCCTGGAGACACAGCAGATGCAGCAGGGTCATCAGTGCCAGAGGTTCTGTCCCCCAGGGTTTTCCAGAGTCACCACCTGGCCCTGAAATCCCAAGAGGATCTGCCTCTGCAGAGGTGGGCTCATCTGAGTGTCTGAGGTGCCCACCAGGTCCTGAGCTGAGGTCATTGTCACAGTGACAGTGATACAGGACTGCAATGTTGCAGCAGCACGTGGGGGGAATAAAGAATGAGGAAGCACCACAGCATGGCAGGTACAGCTGAGATATTAAGATTTATATTATTATACTTTATGTGCCTGAGATATTTACATTGTGAGCTCTGAAAATCTGCTCGGAGTCTGAACAGATTTCTGACTTTTAAAAATACAGCTTTGAGAGGGCTCTTTAAAACTATTTCAACTTCAACCCTTTCACTTCTTTGCCTTTCGTTTGTTAGAATTCGGGGCAGTTGCTGTGATGCAAGATGACTGACCACAGTAGAGATATGATGACTTTCAAGTTAAAAAACGGTTTAATAAATGCAAGGCAGCAGGGACTCAAGAGGAAGCAACATCACCTCTCGGAGCTGTGCGTTGTTTTTGTTCCAGCGCTCCTGCAGCGGCGGCTCAGCAAACTGGGAACACAGAGCTGGGTCGGGTCAGGACACGAAAGTGCTCAGCATCCCAAACCTCGCCGAGGCTGAGTTCAGGGCACCATGAAGCAAGTTGGAGTTGGTACACTCCAAGTCCCGCTGGTACAGCTGAAGCATGGAACCGACCCTTCACCGGACGAGTCCCGGGATGCGGGACGAGCACGGCCGGGCCGCTCCCTCACCTTCCTCCCGCACTCTCCGGGGCCATCCCGCTGCTCCTGGCTGCGCATCCCGCCCCGCCGCCGCTGCCGCAGCTCCGCCGCCAGCGCCTCCCGCTCCTCGCCCAGCAGCCGCCGCAGCCGCTCCCGCCGCCGCTCCAGCCGCGCCGCCGCCTCCTCCGCGTCCCGCCGCGCCGCCGCCGCGCTGCCGCACACACCGGCACTCAGCGGGCCCCGCACCGCCCCGGCACCCGCACCGCCCCGGGACCCGCACCGCCCCGGGCCCCGCACCGCCCCGGGACCCGCCGGACCGCGGCCGTACCTGGGCGGAGGGACGCGGGGCTCGCTCCAGCGCGCCTGCAGGGAGCAGCAGGCGGCGGCGCGGGCGAAGGCGCGGCTGGTGCTCTCCCACTGCTGCCGGCTGCGCTCCTGCAGCTCCCGCCGCTCGGCCGCCCTGCGCTCCGGGCCGCGGCCCCACCGCAGCCACAGCGACATGGCAGCGCGACGGCTCCCGCCGAGGGACACGGCCAGACGGGCTCCGCGAGCACGGAGGGAGGCGGGGACCGACGGAGGGAGGCGGGGAGAGAGGGAGGCGAGCCGGGAGGGACGGGGGATGGAGCGGCGGCGGCGTTCGGTTCGCTCCGAGCCGGCCCCGAGCGCTCGCAGGATGCGCGGATGGAGCCCGGGCCGGGCGCGGTGGGGCTGTGCCGGCTGAGAGCGCGCAGCACCGCGGGGTTTGTGGCGCTGTAAATATTTCAGGGGTTAAAGGTTTCTGTTTCTGCCCGCCTTGGCACGGCACCAGCGCGGCGCCGTTTGCAGTGAACCCAACCGGACCGGCCGCTGCGTGACCCGGGACAGCCCGGGCACCGCTGGAGGGGCTGTGGGCATCCCGATATGGCTCAGGGCATCCCGGAACGGGCTGGGCACCACGGGAGAGACTCCGTGAGCTCTGGACATCCCAGGACAGGCTCCGAGCACCCTGGGATGGGCTCGGGGCACTGCAGGCACCGCGGAACTGGCTCCTGGCACCCCGGGAGGGGCTTCAAGCATCCCTGGAGGGGCTCCGGGCACCGCGGTAATTTGGCAGCAGGGAAGGAGGCAGCACCAGCCAGCAGCACCCCGCACCCCTCTTATACCCCACCCACCCTGCCAGCCACCGATCGCTATCACCCCACAACCCGTTTTTCCAGAATAACCGGTCAAAACACCGCATTTGCCGCCCTATCACCGGCCAGCCCGCTCCCCACGCAGCGAACGGGCTGAGCCTCCCTCCGCTCCCACCTCTTCTTCACCTCTCCGCTCGGTGTCATTTTCCCACCCAACCCCACACTGAGGTGCGCCGTCACATCCCGCGCGCGTTGAGGTTTGTTTTCCATCTGTTCCCTATAAAATATTTATCTCCCGTGAATAATTAACGCCGGCCGGGCCAGCGAACGGCCAGACCCCGAGTCTGAGGGGGCGATGTGGGCGTGGCCTCCTACTTGGGTAGAAAGTCCCGCCCCTCGCCGCTTCGACCAATGGCTGCGCATCGGCCGTACGGCCGATGCGCAGCCATTGGTCGAAGCGGCGAGGGGCGGAGCTTGGCGTGGGCGCGCTGCCGGGTCGGCCCCCGCCGCCTCAGAGCCCCCTCAGCCGGGGAGCGGTGAGGGGGGAAAGGAGTGGGGCTACGCCGGTCATGGCGCTGCTGCTGGAACACGAGTTCAAGCCGCTGCCGGCTGATAAGCAGATCGAGACTTTGCCCTTCCTGGAGGCCGTGGCGCACCTGCCTCCGTTCTTCGGTGAGACCGGGGTGGCCGGGGTTGGGAGATGCGGGCTGGGATCAGGCCTGCTGTGGGCTCAGCCGCTTTGGGGTGCATCTTCCTATTTCTGGGTGGTGACCCCCTCACCCCTTACCTGATCCAGGACTCACGCCGGGCTTGGCTGCTCTGCCAGGGCCGCGGTTGCATCACGGTGCTGTCAAACCTGCCGTGCAGCCCCGTTGGGAAACATTCCTGCCATCCCACCCATGGATCCCACCCCGTGTCGGGACACGGGTGGGTGTTCGGCGTGGCCGCCCTCGTGGCACAGTGTGCCCTCCACAATGTCAGCTATTGTGTGGCAGCCCCGGAAGGGCAGGACGTGGGGCGGCCTGCCTGCAGTGCTGGTCAGGCTGTTCCAGGACCTTCTGCCAGGGCTGTGTCCAGCAGCCAGGGGGATTGGAGGTCACTGGTGGGGCTGTAGTATGTGGCAGGGCTGTCCCAAGGACCAGCAGCCGTGTCTGAAGCTCAGAGATCCCTTTCTAGTCTCATTGCTGGAGCTGTGGTTAAAGTGAAACCTGTTGGTAAGGGAAGTTTGGTGTCCCCTGTGTCACCAGTGTTTAACTGTCCTCCCTCCCTGTCTCCACAGATTGCCTGGGGACTCCCATCGTCTATTCGCCAGTCAAAGCAGACCTGACTGGAAATATCAAGGTAGGAAGGAACTCAGGAGGGCTCAGAGAGGAGAATCCTTGGGGAGAGATCTGTGAGACTGGAGGTGTTTCAAAAAGCTTTGGGGACTTGGGACTTTGGGCTCAGCAGTGGCTCACCCGGTCACAGGTTTATTCCCAGAGCTCCTGCCCAAAGTCCCTGCTCCCGGGTGCCAATCCCCTTTTCTGCCCTCAGAAAATCCGGGCGGTTTATGACTCCAACCCTGCCAAGTTCAAAACGCTGCAGAACATCCTGGAGGTGGAGAAGGAGCTGCACGGCTCGGCCTGGCCCAAGACAGGCGCGACGCTGGCGCTGATGTGGCTGAAAAGGTGACTCACGGCGTCGGGAGCTGCTCCGGCTGTGTCCCGGCTTGTGGGGAGCTGGAGAGCTCCAAGTGGAGGCTGCGTGTGCTGGGCTGGTCCCTGTGGGCTGGGGTGAGCAGCTGGCAGTGGGGTGCTGTGTTTGGCTGTTGGGAACTCCCTCCTCAAATCTGGCCCCCCAAGAATGCACAACCTCAGAGCATGAGCCCACAAGTTGGACAGGTCAGGAGGAGCCTGCAGTGCCTGGAGGATCCACCTGACCCTGCCCAGCTCAGCCCTCAGCCCTGGCTTCATCCAGGGCTTCCATCCTGCCCTGGGAGCTCCATCCAGCCCTTCTCTCTCTCTTCTCTGGATGTGCACACAGGGACAGGCGCCAGCTCTGTGAGAGGGATGCACTGCTGGGACTCTGGGTTTTTGGGATGCTTGGAAACACCAGGCTGGAAGCTGGGAAGCAGCACCCACTTCCCTGAGCTAAACATCTCTGCTCTTCTCCCCAGGGGTCTGAAATTCATTCTGGTGTTGCTGCAGAGCATCTCTGACGGCGAGAGGGATGAGGAGCATCCCAACCTCATCAGGGTGAATGCCTTGAAGGCTTATGAGATAGCACTGAAGAAATACCATGGCTGGATGCTGCAGAAGCTCTTCACGGTGAGCATTCCCTCCCTCTCCAAGCATCCAACCACCATCCCTGAGGCTGTTCCATGCACTGACAAGTGTCTGGAGATTCCACAGCATTAGCACATAGGAACAACCCAACCCATGGTCTCTGTTGGGTTTGTGGGAGTCAAACACCCTCTCCCTGTTTTACAGGGCTCGGTCTACGCTCTTCCCTACAAATCCGATTTGCTGAAGGCCTTGGAGAAGGGTAAAGAAGTCAAGGAAGAGGAAAGCATAGAAAAAATCCACCAGTTTGTCACGAGGGTCACTCCAATCCTGGATGCAATTTATGAGATGTACACGAAGATGAACGCTGAGCTGAGCTACAAAGCCTAAAGCTGGCACAGGATTGGCACAGATTAAATAACGTGTGATGGGTGTTACCTATGTCTTCATCACTGAGGCAGCTGGGGTGGCTCCCAGCTCTCTGGTGACTTCGATTCCTCTCTGGATCTGCAGTGGATAACGTCTTTTCTAACCAAAAAAATAACAGTAATTAACTTTCTATTAAGAATACGGCAATAAAACAATTGTGGGTGTCACCCTTGGATTTCCCAAGAGGAAGAACAAGTGTTTCTAGTCCCAACTCCTGGATTCCTGTCTTCAGTGGGGCAGGGAGTGAAGTGTCCTGCTGGTGAGTGAAGTGGCACTCGGCCTGTGCCTGGAACCGCCGACGGGCACCTCGTGTTGATTGGCACTGGATAGTCCGGAATGATGCCCATGGAGGAGGAGCTGATGACTCTCCCGGGTGATCCCAACTCCTCCAGTGCTGGCGTGGGATCAAGCTCCTGTGCTGGGATCAACCAGGGACTGTCCCCGCGGTGTTTGCGGTGCCTTATGAGCCCCCCTCGCCTCCCGAGCCCCGGCGGGAGCAGCAATTAATAAAAACTGACAGTACCCGTGGCCTGGGAGCCTCATTTGGGGCTGTGGTTGTTTGGAGAGACTGTTTTAGGGAAGGTGTTTTGGGGCTCGTCCTGGCAGGGATGTTTTGGGTAGGGAGATTAAGTTTTTTTTTCCTAGGAGAGCTGTTTTGAGGAGAATGTTTTGGTGCTGTGTCCTGGGAAGGCTGTTTATGGGAGGGTTTTTGGAGCTGTTCTTTGGGAGGGCTGTGTCAGAGACATTTTTCCTCGGGGCTTATTTATTTGAAGGGTATTTTGGGGCTGTGCCTTCTGGGCTGTTTTGTGGCCGGTGCTCCCGGGAACGGGGAGGGGCGGGCGGGGGCCGATCCCGAGGGCGGGTCCCGGTGGCGGGGCCGGGGCGGGGAGGGGCCGCTCTGGGGACCGGCCCCGGGCGACTCGGCGGCGCCGGAGCCTGCGGGACTTTCCACGGGACCTTTGGCGGTACGGAACCGGGGCAGCGGGCGGAGGGGCGGACAACCGGCAGTGGGACACGGGCACCGGGGCTGGATGGAGCGGGGACACGGAAACTGGAGCAGGATGGGGCTCTCCGGGCAGGATGGAGACCCCAGGTGAGGCTGGGGTCCAGGGCTAAGCTGGGCAGGGCCAGGTGGACCCTTATGGATGCCCCGGCACTGTGCAGACAGCCTGGGGACTCACGATCTGAGATTGAGGTGCCGGGTGGGTTCCCAGGCAGAGCTTTGAGGAGGGGGCTCCCACCGGCTCCGAACCCCCCATGCTGCCCGCAGCGAGCTCCTGGCTGTTGCCGAGGTGAGCACGAGGATTTTGGGAAGCAGCTGCATCACTCGGGATGAGGATTTCCTACAAGAACCGGCTGTGGTTTCAGTGATTCACTCCCACCGGATCACCCTTTAATGTCGTGGGACACCCTCCCTGCCTCCCATCCCGGTGTTGGTGACAGCGTCCGTGCTCCCGTGGTGGGCAGGAGCGGGCACTGACTGGGGACACTGGTCCAACTGGGAGGTACTTTGGTGGGATGCTGGGAAGAGGTGGGAGCACAGGTGGGGTTTGTGTTGGATGCAAGAGCTGTGCCTTGACTCAGTTATTCCAGGAGGTGAGGAAGTCTGAAAAAACCAAACCCAAATAACCGAAGGGCCAAATCAAACCCCTGTGACAGCACCTTTCCTGGCAGCACCCGGGCTGACGGCACCAGCCCCGAGTCCCTCATTTCCCACACCAGCTTCAGTCCTGGACGGTGACAGCAGGTGTGGGATAGCCCGTGTGTGTCTGGGTTTTCCCTAAAGCTGCACTTTTCCGGGAGCCAGCACAGTTTGGACAGGTCAGGTGCTCTGTCCCCATTCCCACAGGGTCCGTGTGTTTGGCACTTCCCTCTTCTCCCTTGTCTAAGGTCAAACCGGCCATGCGAGGGCCCCTGCTTGCACGGGGTCGGGATGTGGGACCTGCGGGCTTTGGCAGGTGCTTGTGGAATTTCTTGCAGAGACGAGGATGGCAGGAAAGTCAGCAAAGAGGAGAAACTGTCAGCTCTGTGTCCCCCAGGGCTGCACTGTCCTTTCTGAGTGTCCCCAAGGGTGGCAGGGAGAAGGGACCGCTGCCTGAGCCCCCTCCCTGTCGCTGCAGGGTTTGGGGCCGTTTGCCACCCTCATCCCCCGTTCCCACAGGGGCACCGTGGGGCTGCCAGGACCCACTGCCTCACCCGACCCCGTTCCCCGGCTGGGCTGCCCTCCTGACAGGACCCAGCCTGCCACTGTGGCTTGTCACACAGAGCTTCAGCCCAGCACAAAATGACACGTTTCCCGCTGCTTTTTCTGTCCCGGGAGGGCTGAGCTGCCCGCAGGCTGAGCCGTGCTGAGCCCTAACGCTGCTGGGTTTTGCTGGAGGGTTTTGGTGGAAAACGGGGCTGGGGGAGTGCCTGGGGTCAGTCACCTGTCCGGGGCTGGGGGAGTGCCTGGGGTCAGTCACCTGTCCGTGGTGTCCGGGGCTGGGGTCAGTCACCATGTCCGTGGTGTCCGGGGCTGGGGGAGTGCCTGGGGTCAGTCACTGTCCGTGGTGTCCGGGGCTGGGGGAGTGCCTGGGGTCAGTCACCTGTCCGTGGTGTCCGGGGCTGGGGTCAGTCACTGTCCGTGGTGTCCGGGGCTGGGGGACTGCCTGGGGTCAGTCACCTGTCCGTGGTGTCCCGGACGCGGTGACACGGTCCAGCGCTCCGCTGGCCGCGCTGATGGCACGTCTCTCCTTCATCTCCACGTCCCTCTGGGCAATCTAAACCCGTAATTTCTTGTCCCAGCCGCTGCTCCTGCCCTCCCCCCGTGCCGCACCCGGTGCCCCGATCCACGTCCCACCGAGCCCCCCCCGGGTTGTGGGACATCAGGAGCAGCCCTGGCCCCGCTCCCAGCCCTGCTGCGGTGGCGGCTTCTGCTGCCTCTGGGCGCTTCCCTGGACGCTTCCTTGGATGTGGGGAGTATCCCAAGGAATGTTTTCTTTCCTTGGGCGGCAGATCGCAGCGCACAGGGTCTGCTCTGTGCCCTGTCCTGGGCTGCACCCCGGCTGACCGCAGCGGGGCCGGGCTCGCCCTCGCCCAGCACGGCAGAGCCGCAGCCGGAGGGGCCCCCGCAGACGTGAGGGGTCCCCGCAGCGGGGAGGTGGGTGCCGAGGAGAGCCGGGACAAGGCAGGACCGTCCGGGAGACTCCTGCCGGCCCCAACCTCTGCCAGGGTGGGTGTGGGACCTGTCCCACCGCCGGGCTCGGAGCCCCAGGGAGAGGATGGGGAGGGTCTTTTGGGGGTGACACGGGGTTTTCCTCTGCCAGGTCTCCTGCTCTCGTGGAAGGAGCCGGGGGTCACAGCCAGCCAGGCAGGTCGTGGCCGTCCCCCCGGGCAGGGACCATGGCAGAGAGCGAAGACACCCCGCGCGATGCCGCGGAGGGCACGGGGGAGGACGGCTCCCTCCAGAACGAATCCTTCCCGCTCTCCTCTCTGGCCAACCTGTTCGAGAGCGAGGACACCCCGAGCCCCGCCGAGGCAGCCCGGGGTCCCCCCGGCGCCGGGGATGGAAAGCAAAACCTCCGCATGAAATTCCACGGGGCCTTTCGGAAAGGCGCCCCGAAGCCCATGGAACTGCTGGAGGCCACCATCTACGAGTCCCCCGTGGTCCCCGCGCCCAAGAAAGCCCCCATGGACTCCCTCTTTGACTACGGCACCTATCGCCACCACCCCAGCGAGAACAAGCGCTGGCGCAGGAGAGTCGCGGAGTGAGTACGGGACCCCCGCGGCCCCCGGTGCAGCGGGGGATGCTGGGGTGGGGACACCCCGGTGGGTGTGGGGATGGAAATGTTCAGCTGGGGACACCCCGATGGGGATGGGGATGTTCAGTGGTTGGGGTGGGGATGGGGATGTTCAGCTGGGGACACCCCGATGGGGATGGGGATGTTCAGCTGGGGACACCCCGATGGGGATGAGGATGTTCAGTGGTTGGGGTGGGGATGGGGATGTTCAGCTGGGGACACCCCGATAGGGATGGGGATGTTCCGATGGGGACACCCCGATGGGAATGGGGATGTTCAGTGGTTGGGGTGGGGATGGGGATGTTCAGCTGGGGACACCTCGATGGGGATGGGGATGTTCCGCTGGGGACACCCCGGTGGGGATGGTGATGTTCAGTGTCTGGGGACGTGGGTAGACCTCGAAGCGCCACTTTGGGGTGCTTTGGGCAGAGGTGCCGCGCACAGGGAGCAGCTCCCAGCGAGTCCCAGTGGCAGCACCGGGCTGTGCCGTGCCGTGGCGGGGCTCCTCAGCCCCCGGTACCGCGGGGCCGGGAGTTCGCTCCCCTTCCCCCTTACGGGCGCCATGAAAGAGGCTCTGTGCGCTCCCCTGGCCGGTGCGAACGTCTGGCTGCGGCATGAAAGGGCTTTTCAGGAGGGCCTCCACCCTGCCCGCGCCAGGAAACCGGAGCCGGGGGGGGCAGCCCGCGGCCGGACACACAATGCCCCTCTGTGCCAGGCACCTGGGGCGGCCCGCCAGCATCCCCACCCAGGGGTGCAACCGGCTTAGGAGAGCGGGATGTTCCTCCGTGGAGGTGGGTGGAGGGGGGCAGGATGCCCCGTGAGACCTCAGACTGAAATTCTCCTGCTGGGGCAGCCGCCAAACGTGCTGCCCTCATCGCCGGTGCCCGGAGCTGCCCGTATCGCCGGTGCCCGGGGCTGCCCGCATCGCCGGTGCCCGGGGCTGCCCGCATCGCCGGTGCCCGGAGCTGCCCCCGCTCCATCCCCCCGTGCTGCCGACTGCTCCGACCGGTCTGGCTTCACCCGTGGTACCGGAGCGTGTCGAGCTCACGGCCCGTCCCTGCCGGGGGCACACCTGGGGGCCCCGGGCGCTGCAGCACCTGGGTGGGAGCTGTCACTGGGAACGCTGGGCTGCTGTGCATGAGGAGGATGCTCTGACCTCGCAGGTGTCCCCGGCCGGGTCCCCACTGGCTGAGCACCCTCCAGCTCGTTGCACAGGTGGGGGAAGCCGAGGCAGCGGCTCCTGCTCCCAGCGCTGGCGTTTCCCCCGCAGGAAGCAGCCGCCCGCCGCAAAGGGACCGGCTCCCGAGCCGCCCCCCGTCCTCAAGGTGTTCAACAGACCCATCCTCTTCGACATCGTCTCCCGGGGGTCCCCGGCCGGCCTGGATGGGCTCCTCTCCTTCCTGCTCACCCACAAGAAGCGCCTCACAGACGAGGAGTTCCGAGGTGGGCACCTGGCTGTTCCTTGCCCTGGTGCCAGGGATGGCAGCTGGCAATCCCCGTATTCCTGGGGGATGGGGGTGCACAGCTCTGGCATGGGGAGCCAGGGGGCTGAGGGGTTTGCCCTGGCCCCCCCTTCAGCACCCTCCACTCGCAGAGCCCTCCACGGGAAAGACCTGCCTGCCCAAAGCCCTGCTCAACCTGAGCGGGGGCAGGAACGACACCATCCCCGTGCTCCTGGACATCGCCGAGAAGACGGGAAACATGAGGGAGTTCATCAACTCACCCTTCAGGGACGTCTACTAC